TTCAGAGTATAATGACACATTTGGTAATTCTTTATAACTCACTGCTTGGAATCTTTTTAAAGTGATCATCACCTTGAGTGCTCCAGGAAAGGTGTGTATTTTGGCTAAATGACCCACAGCAACACTTACCATGTTCCATGAGGCTCCAGTAAAAATGGTGTATGTCTGTACTGCTGCTGAAGTGTCACTGCTCTGGTGTGTGTGCCCAACATGCCTGCCATAGGGTGATGGCTAAGACCCTTATCATCCACTCAATATCCAAAGAGCATTCAGGAAAATCAGCTAATTCTTGAATTGTTTTATGGGTTTAGATCCCAAGGATTCTTGACTTCCTCATGAAAATTAGACTTCACAGTAGACTGTATCCGCACTAGTCACTATGACAAACAGTTAAGTCAACCTTCTTCCATCATGTGTCAAACTCTTTGTCAATCTATTTTTATTTTTAAATTAAGTTTTTACACAAGATCCTGAACCTGAATGTCTAGGAGGCTGATGTCTTTTGTTTGTGCGCAAGTGGGTATAGCTCAGGATCAGGCATGAAATCTTCCTCCACCTGCTTTGCAAATGTGCTTCAATCGTACACTGAAGGGGTCACATCTGGGAATAAAAAGAATAATTCAGTCTCCGTGTCCAATCAGTCACTGAAATGTCCAGCAAGGATTCCACTTAGAGACGGTTGGGGTGATGCGTTGTATGAGGACACCTACCTCAAAAGAATTAGATGGAGACCACCAATGATTTCACAATCAGCAACTGAACATCCTTCACGCCTGTCAAAGACTGAGGACCCAGTCTTTGAAAGGTTCCATGTGCCAAAACTAGTCCCTCTTTCTTATGCATTGTTATTTATGTATTTGATTTTGTGAAATGCAGAGACCCACTCACTGTAGAAGCAAAGTTAACTTACCTTTTTCTTACACATACACTGGTGTTGTTGGCCATGTCAGTCCCAAGCCATTGAGACAAGGAAGATGAAGGAATATCTGTTATTGGACCAGTTTCTGTTTATGAGAGGCAAGCTGGACAGAAACTGATCCAATAAAAAATATTCCTTCACTGACCTTGTCCCTTTTTCTTATGGGCAAAGGCCTGTGGAGCTGGTGCTGAGGCTGTCCCTGTTATATTGTACGCTGGGGCATATTAAAAATTTATGTTGACTTCATATATCCCAGCATGTAACATGAGCAAAAGTAGAACAGCCCATGTATTTCAGGGGCTAGCAGCAGCCTCCACACCAAGTTGTGGCTCTGCCAGGAAAATGCTGTCTCTTGAAGTATGTGTAAGGACATCCTTGTGTATCTAACACACCAGTGTCAAAGAGCTATCATGGAATGGCAGCTCATAGACTCATAGACTTTAAGGTCAGAAGGGACCATTATGATCATCTAGTCTGACCCCTTGCACAGTGCAGGCCACAAAATCTCACCCACCCCTCCTAGAATAATCCTTTCACCTATATCTCAGATATTGAAGCCTTCAAATACTTTGAAGACCCCAAAATGCAGAGAATCCTCTAGCTGTGATCTGTACCCCATGCTACAGAGGAAGGCAAAAAACCTCCAGGACTCTGCCAATCTACCCTGGAGGAAAATTCCTTCCCGACCCCAAATATGGCCATCAGCTAAACCCTGAGCATGTGGGCAAGACTCATCAGCCAGACACCCAGAAAGTTCTCTATAGTAACTCCTATCATCCCTCCATTGACCTATTTCCCACTGATAATGAATGGTCAATTAGTTACCAAGATCATGTTATCTCATCAAACCATCCCCTTCATAAACCCATCTAATTTAATCTTGAAACCAGATAGATCTTTTGCCCCCACTACTTCCCTTGGAAGGCCATTCCAGAACTTCACTCCTCCAATGTTTAGAAACCTTCGTCTAATCTCAAGTCTAAACTTCCTACGAGCCAGCTTATATCCATTTGTTCTTGTGTCCACATTGGTATTAAACTTAAATAATTCCTCTCCCTCCCTGGTATTTATCCCTCTAATATATTTAAAAAGTGCAATCCTGTCCCCCCTCAGCCTTCTTTTGGTTAAAGTAAACAAGCCAAGCTCCTTGAGTCTCCTTTCATAAGACAGGTTTTCCATTTCTCGGATCATCCTAGTGGCCCTTCTTTGTACCTGTTCCAGTTTGAATTCATCCTTCTTAAACATGGGAGACCAGAACTGCACACAGTATTCCAAATGGGGTCTCACCAATGCCTTGTATAATGGCACTAACACCTCCTTATCCCTACTGGAAATACCTCGCCTAATACATCCCAAGATCGTATTAGCCTTTTTCACGGCCATGTCACAATGGCGGCTCATAGTCATTCTATAATCAACCAGGACTCTGAGGTCCTTCTCCTCCTCCGTTACTTCCAACTGATGTGTCCCCAGCTTATAACTAAAATTCTTGTTATTAATCCCTAAATGCATAACCTTACACTTCTCACTATTATATTTCATCCTATTGCTATCACTCCAATTTACAAGATCATCCAGATCTTCCTGTATATCCCGATCCTTTTCTGAATTGGCAATAGCTCCCAACTTTGTGTCATCTGCAAATTTTATTAGGACACTTCCACTTTTGGTGCCAAGATCAGCAATACAAAGATTAAATAAAATTGGCCCCAAAACTGATCCCTGAGGAACTCCGCTAGTAACCTTCCTCCAACCTGACAGTTCACCTTTCGGTATGACCCGCTGTAGTCTCCACCTTTAACCAGTTGCTTATCCACCTCTCAACTTTCATATTAATCCCTATCTTTTCCAATTTAACCAATAATTTCCCATGTGGTACTGTATCAAATGCCTTACTAAAGTTGAGGTAGATTAGATCCACTGCATTTCCTTTATCTAAAAAATCTGTTACTTTATCCTGGTTGGTTTGGCACAAAAAGTGGGCAGTTTTATACTCATACTCCAGACATTTGCCAAAGAAGCACAGAGCTGAGTTTGGGCCAGTACACAATAATATGTTAAGCCAGGTCACTACACATCTGCCACATGTTGTTTGTTCTCTCAGCCTCTCCCTACAGGCAAAATCATATGCTGTGGGGTCTTTTGTTTCGGTAGTGTGTGGGGTTTGTGTGGTTGGATTTGTAGGGAGGGCAGGAGAGGGTGTGTGTGAGAGAGAGATTCCATGGTCTTAGATCAGGCCTGGAAAAAATATATGTGTACCCAAAGCTGTACTATCATTGTAGAGCATTCCATTGTGTGAGGAGCAATATCGTCAACTTCTTCCCAGAGCTTTAGATAATCTTTTAGGTATCCTTTGCACAGGCCACTTTGAAGATAAGGATCAAGCCCTTGAAGTTGATTTAAAATTCTCTAGGAAGAGCAGCCTAGAGAGCAAAGGACAGGTTCTAAGTGTTCGCAGTAACCTGTGTTGCAGAGGACATGTTCTTCATCTGGAGATCATACCTAAAACAACTATTCACAGGAAAATTTGCATGATTCACTAGGATTTGTACAAGATTCTTCAACTGCAAGCAATTTGTAATAGGGAATATATCTTCATATGTGTTTGCACAGTGTTGAGCGCAGTGGGACCCCAATCCTGATTTAGTCACTATTGTGATATAATAATAATAATAATAATAATAATAATAATAATTAATCTATACTATAATTGAAAAAGTTTGTGTGGCTGTCTGACTATCTGTCCATCCATTGTGAGTCTGTTTGTTCAAGAATTTCTCCTAAACGGTAAGAGATAGGGGCCACCAACTTTGGCATGAAGTTTCCTGTTATTATAATGTAAAAACAAGGTCAGAGTTTAGTTGTGCCAGGAAAATGGGATGTGTATGGAATGCAATTGTTTCTCATCAAATGGAAAGGGAGAGCTGTGATAGCACTTATACTCCACAATGACCACAGGAAGCAAGCATGCCCCCACCAGCCAGGCAGTGCAGTCCCCATCACTCCAGCCTGGCCCAGGGCAGCAGCCAGTGGCCAGCATGGCCCTTGTTGTCCTAGGCCAGCCCCAAAGAGCAGTTGCTATCCACTCTTACCCACTGCCTTAGCCCCCCACCTCTTCCCTGACCTTCCCCATGCCTCCAAACCCTCTGCCCTGTCTCCTGCACCCTGACCTCTGCCCTGAGCCCCTTCTCACCCCCTCTCACTTCCCGCCAGTCGGTATTTGTCCACCGCTGTTCTAATGTCACATAATGAGTCAATGGAACGGGGGAAATAGAATCCAGCACTACTGATCTGCAGTCATCTTGTTTATCCCATTGGCTATTTTCCTTGGTCATCTTTTTGTACCAAAGATGGTTGTCCACAAGCTTGTCAACATGGTGCAGTTTCCTGGTATGGCTATATTGGGATAATCATTCCACTATAGTTGTACCAGTAAAAATCCCCAGGTAGACACTCTATTCTGGAATAGAAGTGGCTTGATTTCAGAACTATTACTCTGCTTCCAAAGACCAACTTGGTCTTTTCCTAGACTCGGCTGCTTGACATGATTACCTTTAATGTTATGAACTCAGTATTAACACTTATTCTCAAGTTAATACTTGTGTGTAAATAGCAGTAGGATGACACACTGGCTTTGGCCCTGGTTCACTAGGGCTGTGTCTAGACTACACCTCTCTGTCGACAGAGAGATGTTGATTAGGCAAGTCGAAATTGCTAATGAGGCAGGGATTTAAATATCCTACCCTTCATTAGCATAAACATGGCCACCGCTTTTTTTTTCGAAACAGAGCTTTTTGGGAAAAAATGGCAGATCTCTTGAAAATAAACCCTTTTTCGAAAGATCCTGTATTCCTCAGAAAATGAGATTTACAGGATCTTTCGAAAAAAGGTTTATTTTCAACAGATCTGCATCTAGACTGCTGGGGAGAGGTTCAGAAAAGCTCTGTTTCAGAAGAAAGCAGTGGCCATGTTTATGCTAATGAAGTGCTGGATATTTAAATCCTGCCTCATTAGCAATTTCAACATGCCTAATCTACATCTCTCTGTCGCCAGAGAGGTGTACTCTAGATGTACCCTAGGAGATTTAGTCTTACATATTTTGTGGCTTCTTTGTTGTATTTGTTTACTTAATGCACATTGCCCTTATTAACCCTTTAGCATGTTAAAGAGTCAGAACTTTTTACAAGTGATTAAAGACTGATAACTAATTTCATTTAGCATTGTAAAACATGTGTGGAGACTTTAAATCAGGAGTCAGCCTGCTTTGCTTGCCCATGATGAGTTGTATGCTTTCGTGCGGAAGTCAAATTGGGGAGACCAAGGGGTAGTGCTCTCCCACCCAATTAAGCTCCACTCAAATGAGATGCCATTGACAGGAGATTGTGCACATGTTCAAAATATAGCCCTGCACACTCTCTGGATTCCCGAGGGTCGGCTTTGCTGGGCTCCTCAGATTTTATGAGGCTTGTCAGCCCTGCTGGGTGTTTTGTGAGCTTAGCTCCCCAATGAGGGGGCTCAGATGCCTCACTCAGCTCCGTTAGGCTCCTTAGGTTTGGCTCCTTCTTGATCGAGGAGGAGAGAGGACCCTCCCAAATTCATTTTCTCATGGTGCCAAAATGAACTGTCACTCAGAGTAGATTGTGTAGACCTTCCAAATCTGCTCCTTTCTCTCCTTTCTGACATGTTTTGTTGAGCAGTGACGTATTGAACAATGTTGGTGTTTAAAGTTTTATCGCTGGGCCTCTGAGTTCATACCACCATGTAGCTGTGGAATTGGAGTCCTGTGTGAGTTTTCCTGCTAGACAAACACAGATTAAAAATGTATCATTATTAAACAACTACACTGTGGCAGCACCTTACTATTCTAGATGTGGTCCAAGCCAATGTACTCTTTTTTATAAAATGAACTTCATTTTTCTCTTTCTGTTTCTTGACTGTATTGTCACTTTGTGCTCGGTCTATTTAAAAATGTGTCTCTAAAAACAAAACAGATATTTAAATGAGCCCTTATGAATTAAAGCAAATCATGATCAAAACTAAACAGCATTTGGCATTGAGAGCCAAATTCAACGATTTTTAAAAAATCCTATTTTCCTAATTGTTGGCTTTTAATGTGATCCCCCCCCCCTAAAGATGTTGGACTTAAGTGTATTGTGGTCACTCTTACTTAAGAGTTCAACTGTAATTGCTTTTTGAACCAATAGGACTAAGTCCAAAAATGTCTTCACCTCTTTTGTGCTCGAAAGCGAGCTTTTCCAAGAAATTAAGTTGTCAAGAAATTACTTCTCTAAACATTGTGCGAACTTGGCATGCTTCCAACTGAAATGGGGGTAGCTGCAGTCAAGCACTATACTAACGTTTTATATTTAGATCTAATCTCAGATCTCTCTCAACAATCTTTGAACTCCTTTCCCCATAAAACTCAATAGGTGAAATCCTGGCTCCATCAAAGACAACAGCAAAACTCCCATTGACTTCAGGTGTCAGTCGGGATTTCGCTCAATATCTTTTTCCCAATACAGGGACCAGTAGAATAACCCTCATAATGTCTGACTTGGGATTTGTAGTCATAAAGGCAGTAGTCATGATTTGTAGTCATACCATAGGATCCTTTTTTTCTTCATGGATGCTATGAATTTTCTTCACACCGGATACATAATTCCTTCCTCATAATTTATACCCAATTTAAATACTATGTCATTGTTTTGTTATTCTACCACACTTCATTAAGGCCTATTACATCAAAGTTCTCTTCAAATCCCAGGCATTTCAGTTCACCTATTTTTTTCAACTTTCTTGTAATGATACAGGGAGACGTTTACTTTTAATTTCTGACCACATGCCTTTGGATAGTTAACTGCTTTATCTGATGCCATTTTTTTTAAATGTCATCTGCTGTCAGTGTGTCTCTCCCTCCATTTCAATTGTAGCTTCTACCCTATATTTTAACTATCAAATACAGAACTGTCTTTGAATTACCTAATCCCCAGCAGGTGTCTTAGTCTGGCCTTAGAAATTCTCAGCCCTCATTAACTTTCTTCCAGTTCCTATTTTAAATAATCTCCCAAAATATTGTCAGTTTTCAGTGCCAGCAACCTGGTTCTGTGTTAGTTAAGATAAAGTAGATACTGACTGTATAGACACTCCTTTTGTGTTGGAAGATCCTCAGTGCCCAATACATTTAACCTTTTATTCTTTGTACCATCTATTCATGCATCGAGACCTTGAATGTCTCTGTCTAACTGGGTCTGTGCATGAAACTTGCAGAAAAAGCCAACAAAGGGACGTTGGACTTGTGCCTTTTTTTCCCCTAGTAATCTAAATGTAGCTTCCAAATGCTCTTTTGCAACTTTCTGTATCATTTGTACAAGTATGTACCATGTCCACAGATTCCTTCCCAGAATTCATAAGAAGTCTGTCTAAGAATCTTGGTATTTCATGATCTCTACCACCTTCATAACTACTAGACAGGTCACCTACAGTGTCCATGGCCACCATGCAGACAGCAATTGATATTTTCCAATGATTGAATCCCCTGTCATCCCAGCTTTTCTGATTGTAGTATCTGTGTTCCCTTTTTCTGGAGGAACCTCCTTAATACAAAAGGAATGATTAGCTTCTTCTACCTACCTACATAAGGGCTTTTTTATCTCCTGTATACCATGGATTCCTCCCATCGTGAGATTTGTATCCTGAATGGGATGATCTTAGGTGGCCAGGATAAAGAAGTGAACCTGCTCCGCAGTGTCCCTTTAGACTGCCTCTTTATAAATAATTCCATGGTTCTCTGCTTTACACATATATAACTTACCTGTGGCCATAGTATCATTTGCACCTCTTACATCAGATTAAAGATTTATGAAATACACATGTACATGGATTAAACTTAATTTTTTAAACTACATGTAGCTCTCCCATAAAGGATTTAGGTGACATGGAGTCAGAGGGTGATACTTTCAGGTAACCTCAAGCTGGCCTTGACTTTACGAACCTATTTTTATGCTTAACTGACAAAGGCGGCCATGCACAGAATCTACTCTGGTGCCTGCAAATTAGGCTGTTGGGTGTCTGGCCACATATTAGTGCACAAATGACTTTTTGCACATGTGAAAGGAGGACATGAACAATTTTGTGGGTGCATTCAGCCAGTGCAGCCAGTCAGAAGCTAGTTCTGAGTATTTTGCCCTTGTATAATTTCTCCTTCGTGTATGTGTTCATTAGGTATTGTCTGGTGAACAAAGTGAACAAAAGAAGCTAGATGATAAATTGTATTTTAGACATGGGGTGAAATCCTGGCCCATTGAAGTCAGTGGCAAAACTCCCCCTGACTTCGCTAGGGCCAGGATTTTACCTATTAGCTTTCCACCGCTGTTTGTTGAAGCCATAAATGAAACCAGATGTGGCTACCTCTCAGTGTAGATTCTAGTGTTTGCCATTTGTTCTTCATATTTCACTATACACAACTTAGATGAAGTCTGCACCTTTCTGAGACCAAAGACAAAGATTACCCCAAAAAGGCTGAAAAATACCCCGCAAAATACTAAGGAATTCCCATTAATCACATCCCTGTGGAAATAAATGATACAAAAGAGGGACATAGTTCAGTTGAATTAATGATGGCTTCATGGTCTCAATAAGAGACACAAAACAGATTTTACAAAGATGATTTTCTCAGACGACCTTTGGGTCCAAACATGAATGTCTGGGTCAGTCCCTGTATATTGATTTACCAAATTTTTAAATAATTAAAATATCCATTTGCCATTTCAGAAGCTCTAGGAATCCTAATAACTAATTAAAACCAATGGGACATCCATGCTGCAGCATCACATACTCATTTATAGATGCATGTTAACTCAGCCTAAAGAACAACACTAAATAATCAAATATAGGTAGCACATTCACTCAACAAGCCAATACATGAAAGCAGCAGCAAAGTATTACCTCACTAGAACATACCTCAGCCTTTCTCCAAACTGCTCAAATTAACTGCTTTTTCATTGTGCCATTTAATGTCATACAGTTTCTGCCATGACACATCATTAAAATCCCTTACTAAATACAGCACATGATAACCACAGAACACATCCCACAAGAAAATCCGACCTATATATTTGAGCAAAAATGAAGAGAGGGGCACTTGCAATGAAATAATTTGGCGTGTATTTAGCACAATCAAAAATCAGATGTCAAATGGAATTCATGTGCATCAGAAGATGAAGGATAAGAAAAGTACTAGTAACATACCAACATAACTATACAAAAATATAAGCATAAGAAATAAGCAAGAAGAGCTAGATTGCCACTGAAAACTGGAGAGCAAAACTTCCCAACTCTTACTGACTCCTGCTCCGATACATTTCATAACTGAAATGTTACCTCAGGTGAGTAGAAATTTGCTGTCTCTCAGAGTATATCGAAAAGTATGAGGAAGGGGAAAGAGGCCCTATGGGATAGATTTTCTGCTGAGCTGGGCCTTAGTTTGCTGTTTTGTGGATGCAAGTAAATTGTCCAAATGTACTTCCACAAAATGAACTATGGGTGTATTGAATATTTGCCCCTTTAACTAGCTAACTACAAATGCATATGACACAAGTAATCAAACTCATGCCCATAACTGAACTGTTGGTGCATAATATGAGAGAGCAAACTTTTCTGCAATAAAAAAGCAATAATCAGATCAAAACCACAGCTCTGTGTCAAAAGCATTCAGGGTATGTCTACACTACGGAGAAGATCAAAGCTGCCACTGTCGATCATCCAGGGTTCTGAGAAGGACAAGTGGGATGATACAATATTTGGGTAATGGTAGGAAAAATGAAAAACAAAGCCACAGCAGTGGACATAGGCTTCAGGACAGGAGCTAAAGTAAGAGTGACAGTTTCATGACTCTGCTGTTCAAATGTTTGATGCAGCAGGGGACTAGATTTTCCAGGGCCACTCTTACTATCCCAGCATACAGGGGTCCTGTCATGAGTCTGGCTGCATGGTTGCAGAGAGGAGTTAAGGAGATGTAAGAAACTCTTTTTACTCCCTTGTGCAGGTGACCTGCGTGTGCATCAGATGAGAGCAGAGGTGCTGTCAGACTGCAGCTCTCCCATCCAGGTTAGAGGGCAGGGATTAGATGGAGCTCAGTCTCTGCCCTCCACCCCCACCACCAGTGTACCCAGCAATGCTGCTGAGCCAGTGTGGAAAGGGAAGTGCCTGCTCCTGATGCTGTGCACTGCCCTTTACTCTGGGCAGATTGTGGGGTTACAAGCTAGCCCTATGGGGATTACAAACACAGCTCAGCTGGCATCGTCAAAGCGGAAAGAAGTCACTGACAGACAGGCGACACTGACCCATTAAGATTTAAAGGAGAGAAATATCTGTGGCTAAAAGAGTCACAGGGAAACCCTGGGAACGGACATGGCTAGAAAGGAAGCTTCAGCTGAGTTAAAGCCAGTCTAAGGGAAGGGGTAAACTTGGGCTAAGCACAGTCATCCAGATCTTTGAGCCTGCTCTGACCACTCTTGACAGCCCGAAGCATCAAGCAAGCAACTGTACAGCTGTCAGATTCATCCCCCTGAGGTTTCCCTGTGTAGAAGAGTCTCAAGAGGTATAACTGCTACGCCTTTTCTCTCAATCCAGGTACAGAGAGTCCTGGTAATCCCCAGCTTCCAGAACATCCTGTTCAATCTGTGTCTAGCTGTGTCTTGGGCTCATCTAACTTACATAGAAACTAAACCAACTTTAAAGCTACCATTCACTTTGCCCTGACTCCTAAAGGATCTGGATAGGTAGGGGCTACGTCTACAC